TGACAGCCCAGACGCGTCTGGGCTGTCCGCTGCCCGCGTGTTCCGCCGCTTTGCTTCCTCTCCCTGGTCTGCTGGAGACCAGGGAGAGGAACCGCCCCGTTCGTAACTGCGGATCCGACATAAGTCGGATCCGCGTAACTCAGGGACTCCCTGTACACTGTTATTTTGAGCCTGCCAGCCTCTAGCATCTAGTAGATTTTTATAATAGGCCCAAAACTCTATTGGTTTCCTGTTTGCCAAATTAGCTGACTTCTTGTTCCCATATTTTCCAACCCTTCTTGTCACTCAGAATATGGCCATGAAATAATGAGCTTTAAAAACATTCTGCCAGGTTAAAACTTAAGGGAGTCAATATAAACTACTATTGAAAGACTAGTTGTAGCTCTCTCTCTCTCTCTCTCTTGTGAACTCCTTATTCTGCTGTAAAGTTGATTTTCCAATTTTGTAGACTTAACAGAATTCAAAATGACCAACTCAACATGGCTCACCCAGTCCTCAAACTGAATCAGGTTATTTGACCACACTGGAATTATTCCAAATAAGACCCTTGCCAGAGACTTAATTCAACAAGTCTGAACTGCTTTATGCATGCTTGCTAACTGCAATATTTTTAAATCTGTGTATATAATGCATCTGATTTGAGCTCTAATTTTAGGTTAAGGTATACTTTATATAAGCACACACAGTGGTTTAAAAGATAGCTATTTGCAAGATGAGATATTCTTAACACAATTTATCCAGATTAACCAGTGGCAACATGTACTAAAAAATATGAAATAAAACACACACTAAAAATATACACTTATTCTTTTAAAGAAAATTGAGAGGTAACAGTGAAAACTAGCAGATGAAATTCAGCTAAGAAATGTACTAAATGGAAATTCGTTTAAAAGAAGTACTGGATTTTGCAGATCAAATTTGAATAATGGTTATGAGAATATTGAAAAAGCAGATAGTTCTGTAACCCGTAGGGCAAATTGCAATTCCAAGAGTCCAGACTAAATTAATTCCTAAGAAAATTTGTACAGCACATCTATGTGTCTGTTTTTCAAATCTAATGAGTTTTATATTTAAAAAATACTGTCAATGTAAAAGGAGACATGAGGGAGAGTAAGAATACTATTATATTCTTCATTCTCATTCAGATATGACAAAAAGATAACCATTTCCTTATAGGGAATGCAGATACTAAGATTTCAAGTCAGGACAAAAATGTGTGTAGTATAATTCACATCTTAAGAAGTCATCAACTCAGTAAATAAAAAAAACGGTGAAACATTCTGGTTCATATACTGTTACTGTAGCAAATAACATATGTAAATATGCTCAGTTGAATGATTCTTTGCTTTACTCTGCAATCCTTATGCATAATAAAATACTTCTACCTAAAGTCAAAGTTCGATGCTGTTCTTTTAAGCTGAGTATATTATATATCAAAGTACAGTTTTGAGTTTAGGGGTTGGCAAAAGACCTTTTTGGATTTGGAAGATTACTTTTGGGAGTCTAATGAGCTATATGGAGTGATCTCTCAAAATAAATCCCCATTTAGATAAATTTCTCGTATGGTTTTTACATATACATCTGAAACGTCTCTTCCATTGTCACAAGAGACACATATCTTGTCTGTTTCCAGTATATTTATATGGTGCCAAAACGATGATAGGTGATTTAGAAATAAATGTTTTCCTGCAAAGGACTTACAGTCAAAACAGACAACCTATGTATGGATGAGAGTGTGAGAACTACAAGAAAAAGCAAAAAGGATAAAGAGGCAAATGTTTAGCAAACTAAAATAGTGCATAATGGCCTGAAAAAAATCCAATTTCAAGTACACTTCATATTAATAATTAAGTGATAAGCATTTACCTCGTGAACTTTCAAGCTAGTGAACAAAATAAGCTGAGTGCAGTTTTCCTTTAATCAGAACAAGTTTAACATCCAAATTGTATCGGTTGGTGTAGAATAAGCAAGTAAAATAAGCACAATGAAAGCTTAAAATCCATACCCATGTGCTAATTAGGCAACAAGACATTATGAGAAATATGGGGAAGAGTGAAGAAGCAATTAGCTGTGATTTAATGAGCTGTGTAATGATAAGTGACAGGGCTATGTAACTTTAAGAGTTCATCTAGTCAGGAAATTGGGGCTGTAACCATGGTACTACTAAGCCCTACCCCCAAGGCAAATTGACCTCTGAAGTTATATTAAAAAGGTTAACAACGGTATTCAAATGCTGGCCTACAAACTTTCCAGGGCCCACACAACATGTTGACATCAAGCAGTTCCTATAGTTTCATAGCCATCTTTGCTCTGATTAGAGCAAGAACCATTTTGCACTCTAGCCTCAATATTTTTCAGTCCATTATGACCTAGTTTATTAGGTGGATGAGTTAATCTGCTTGCAAGAGAATCTTCTAAGTAGCCACCATAAATCCACAAATGGGAACTTAATATCAAGGGTTTCCAACAATCACAATCATAGCAGATGACGTTTGAATGATGTGGAGGGTGCATCCACAAAGAACACCAAAACACATCATGCAAAACTGGGAAACATGAACCTTGAAAGAAAGTAGGTCTCAGCACTGGAAAAAGGATATTTGTAATGTTTACAAACTTCAAGAAAAAAGTATACTAGTTAAAGCATGAGCCTGTAAATCAAGAGATTTGGGGGCGATAAGTCTTTAATCTGTTTTGCCGCAACTTTCCATGTCATAATCTCCAAGTCAGAAGTCCAAGTAACAACCTCTCTGCCTCACTCCACACCCCATGCCACTGAAAAGAGGAGTAGTTAATGCTTATGGAGGACTATAAGATTCTTGGATGGCAGGCACTACTACATTACTACTGCTCTCAGAAATAAGCAGTTATTAGCCACAGAACCTTAATTCTTCTTTGGCATATGAATTATAAGTCTCAACTTGTGTATTCACATACAGTTTCTTTCTGCAGACCCCCTGTCTCATTCAAGACACAGACCCCCTGTCTCATTCAAACACCCCCCCCCCCAAAAAATAACACAGGAAAAAATTCTGTTGAAGTAAAATAAGGGGCAGGGGACCAAAATTGTTGAGAGAAAAAACCCCCTGCATGTCTCCTTTAAGAGTGAGTGCAGGGATAGAAAGAGGGGAGGGGTTAAGCACTAAGACTGAGCAATGCTTCCCCTGGGTCAGCAACCATTTTGTGCCAGCAGCCTTGCGGAACCAGGTAAGCATGAAGACTGGGGTCGGGAGGCTGGGGGTGTTGGGAGCCAGGGCTGGGGAGGCTGGGCACTGAGTGTTTGTAGGGTTGCCAGGTATCCGGCATTTTTGCCTCCTGGCCAGGGAGGAGGAGGGAGAAAATAAGAAAATACCGGACATTTTAGATGTCCGGTATTCTCTGAATTTTTTTTACCGGACAGGAGGCGAAAATACCAGACTCTCTGGGTGAATACTGGATACCTGGCAACCCTAGATGGCAGTCAGATAGACCTATGCTTTATTTCGGCCATATTCTATCTGCAGTTACCACTAGGGTTACCACATGGCTGAAACAAAAATACTGAATCTCCCCTCCTCCCCCCAAAAGAACACCGGGAAAAAAATTTGTTGAAGGAAAAAAAAGGGGGGGGAGGGGGGACCAAAGTTGTTGAGCAAGAAAGAAAAAAAAAAGACTCTGAGAACCTGGATCACTGCTAGGGGTTACTAAGTAGTCATTTAAAAAAAAAAACGGACATTCTTCATCGGGGGTGGGAGGGAACGGCCAGGAAGGGAGCGGTGCTAGCCTGGAAGGGGGGGGGGGACCTGGAAACAGCTAACTGGGGGAGAGAGGCAACGGGGCCGGCTAGGAGAGATGGGGGAGGCCAATGGGAAGCAAGGCTGGTCGTGGGAGGGAGGGGTCGGGCCGAACAGGGCTGGCTGCGAGATATCGGGGGAGGGGGCACTGGCCGGGAGGGGCGGGGCTGGACGGTAGTAAGGGGGGGCGGGAGGGAAGCACAGCTGGGGGGAATCAGGGGCAGCAGCGCTGGCCAGGAGGAAGGGTGGGTGGGAAGCAGAGCTGGCGGGGGCAGAGGGTGCAGGGGCACTGGCCAGGGTGATCAGGAAAAGGAACAGGCCAGTGGGAGCATGGACCAGACTGCCCCTCCTTCTCCTCCTCCTCCTCACAAGCAACCAGGGCTCCCAGCGCCGATAGTGCCCTGCCTCCCAGTCACTCCTCCCACCCCCACCAGGCTACCATCCGGCGCCCAGCCTGAAAACCAGGAAATACCAGATGTTGCACATGTCCGGTATTTTCTGGATTTTTTTTTTTTTTAACCGAAAACCGGACTGTCCGGTAGAAAACCAGACACCAGGAAACCCTAGTTTACGAGAGGGATCAATATGAATTTATGTTGTAGTTCAATTGACCACATCTGATCTCTAAGTAGAGCAGAAGGCAGAGATCATGCAAATAAAGGAAAACAGTCATGCACATGAGGTAGAATTAAGGCTATATAGCCAGCCTTAGTTTTTGCATTTCTTGGGCTTTAATTGTTTAATTTTAATTGTTCCTTTTGGAACAGTAACATTCTTTCAGTATAATTTTTCATATGATATATAAAGTAATGGAAGCAGCATAGCCCTGTGGATAAAGCACCAAACTGGAATTCAGAAAAGCTATGTTCTGTTTGTGACTACCACTGAGCACCTGCATGAATTTGGGCATGTCACAACAGCTTTGCTTTAGTTTTCTCATTTGCAAAAATTAGGACAACAATGCAAACCTGCTTTTGCAAATGCTTTCACATCAGTGGATGAAACTGTGGTTATGTAGAGGCAACAGTCTTTTCCTGGAGAGTGGTAAGATTATTACTACTAACTTCTGACTTTTCCATTCAGATGTCCCTCCTGTTAGTACAGAAGCTTCCCAGAGCGACATATTCACACACAAAAAAGCTAATTATATACTTTATTCCTGTTTATTTGTACAGCTTACTCAAGTGCACGTACAAGCACTGCATCCTCTGCAAAATGGCTCTATTAAGAGAATAGTGGACAACATACAAATACGACAAATGATTTCAACGTCCACCAAGTGTCCCAATCAGATAAATCAAGATGGAAAACAAAGTCCAGAGAATGAAGTGCCAGTAACCATAATATCTAATCCTTCCCAAATAACTGCTGAAACAGGCAAAATGAGAGTTTTCCAAGAGACCTCAGAACCAAAAGTAACCAGCCATAATTCTTCCACACACAAACACCAGGTTTATTTGAGTCACAGCCATTTGTGACACCATGAGACAAGAGAGCATGATTTGCCTTTTATGCAACAAAGCAACTATACTCCACTGTGTTCTGATTATTCTATCCCTGTGCCTGTATCAACAAGTAGTAACAGTGTAATCTTCAAAATCTTGCTAACAGGACTGTTCACTAAATGAATGTCACTCTAAAAAGCTTCTGTCTTATTCAGTGACAGGGATTTGAAAAACAGCATGTACAATGCATCTCTTATTTCAATTAAGAAAACAGCAGCCAACATCTTAATGCTTGAAGACTAAACATTCACACGTGAGTTCCTGAGGTCTTTCCCTGGTTTCACAAAGAACAATAGAGTCAATGTTAAAGGAAAGTACTGAAACATGTCCAAATTGCATATTTTACTTGCTGTCTGAACTTGCTGGTATAATATTTCCTTAAAAGTGACAAGATAAAACATCTTCTGGCAAAGCTTGATAGAAGTCTGTAAACATTTCAGTTAAGTTCTTAGACAGCTACAAAAGGGGGGGAAAGTTATCCAAATTAAAGCAAGTCAGCTTGATAAAATGCCACTATGCAAACAATGAGGGGAAATAGACTCAAAATCCCAAATGCATAGATAGGCATGTATACACACACACAAATCAAATGTATGTCTAATTTGCAAAAAGTGAAACTTTACTGTAGATAAGTTTACAATCTAGTTGTAATCTAGTCTGTAGATAGTTTACAATCTTACTGTAGGTAAGATTTTTTTGCTTTTGTCTTCAGTGAAAAATAGGAAACAGCAGCCAAAACCCATTTTTTGAGGAGTAACGTTAGTTTGAACCAAGGGGTTCAATTCAAACTAACGCAGCCTTTCACTTTCGAATTAGCTGGGTTCGGAAACAGCCTGGGATGAGATTATGCTAATGATGTGCGGGATATTTAAATCCCAGCTTCGCTTACTATTTCAAATGCCTACATTTGCATCCAGAATAGTGATAGAAATGTAGCTGTGATAGTCTGGTGTAGCTGAAACTGCAAGTGTAGACATACCCTCTGAGAGCTACAGCAGGTGTGTACACAACTCAACAACAAAGGAAGCAAAAAAATTCTGTTTCATTTAACGGCAAACAGCGATGAAAGCCCCAGATCCTAAGATGCCATGAAGCCGTTTTGCTTCCAGCATCACAAGTGTTGCCGGAGCTTGCCTATGCAACGCTGATTCTTGGCTGCCAGACTGCACCCTTGGCACTGCTGACAGCTGGTGCAACTTCAGAGCAGCCTTTAAATCTGATATATTAGGCCACAGAACTAAACCCAGTTCAGTACTCACCGAGGACTGAGGAACATAAAGGCCACCAGCAAGCATGCTAGGAAGCCTCATGCTTACCGGTATGTTTACTGGTTAACTATTTAACATCCTTAATCTGATTATTAATCATTACTAGTGTCATATTGTCAAAAGAAAAATGCTAATGGCTTATGGCACTCTAAGAATAGAGTGAGTGCTAGAAATAATGGTTGGGCGCATTCCTGATACAATTCCGTGTGACCAGTGGGAAAACACCAGATACAGTAAACTTCCGATAATCCGGCACCTTTAGGACCCAGGGGGTGCCAGATCATCAGATTTGCCGGACTATCGGAAGGGGGAGCTATGAGGAGTCTGGGGTGGGGGGGATGCCACCCCAGACCCCTCATAGCCCCCCATTCCGATAGTCTGGCTCTCGCCCAGGCATCTCTGATTCAGCCGCTGCTAAAACTGACCAGCGGCTGACTCCAGGAAGCCCGGGGCAGAACAGCTCTGCCTCGGGCTTCCTGGAGTCAGCCGCTGATCAGTTTCAGCAGCGGCTGAATCGGGGAAGCTGGGGGCAGAGCAGCTCTGCCTCGGGCTTCCTGGAGTCAGCCGCTGATCAGTTTCAGCAGCGGCTGAATCGGGGAAGCTGGGGGCAGAGCAGCTCTGCCTCGGGCTTCCTGGAGTCAGCCGCTGATCAGTTTCAGCAGCGGCTGAATCGGGGAAGCTGGGGGCAGAGCAGCTCTGCCTCGGGCTTCCTGGAGTCAGCCGCTGATCAGTTTCAGCAGCGGCTGAATCGGGGAAGCTGGGGGCAGAGCAGCTCTGCCTCGGGCTTCCTGGAGTCAGCCGCTGATCAGTTTCAGCAGCGGCTGAATCGGGGAAGCTGGGGGCAGAGCAGCTCTGCCTCGGGCTTCCTGGAGTCAGCCGCTGATCAGTTTCAGCAGCGGCTGAATCGGGGAAGCTGGGGGCAGAGCAGCTCTGCCTCGGGCTTCCTGGAGTCAGCCGCTGATCAGTTTCAGCAGCGGCTGAATCGGGGAAGCTGGGGGCAGAGCAGCTCCCATGGTCCGGCTGCCAGAGCACTTCCGGGTTCCTGATGGTGCCAGACTATCAGGACTGCCAGACCATCAGATGCTGGACCATCGGAGTTTTACTGTATGTAGCTTTGCATCAATATGTTGCAGTACTCTGTTAAAAACCAGTTGGCCCCATTCCCATCACCACAAGTACCACATTCTTTATGTATTATTTTGCAACAACCCCTAACTTTATTTCTGAGTGCATGATTGCTCACTTTTTCGTCAATTCAGCCACATCAGACACAGTTGGTGAACACCTACCAAGACATTTGTTTATCAAAATTTTTCAGCTACAACTTGCATCAGTTCATTCCTGATATCAGGCTCTCCCGCTCTCAGGCCCTGATTGGCCTGGGGGCGGGGGAGTTCATGAAGCCTCCTTTGCTCTCCTCTCCCCCCTAGCCTGCGAGCAGTGCACGGCACTTCAAAGCTCCACGTGCTCCTGGCAGGGCAGGAGGAGGCTATGCGCACTCCCCCACTCCCAGGCCTTAACTGGCCCGAAACCTTCTCTGATTTGAAGCGCTGCATGCTGCTCGCAGGGCGGGGGCAGAAAGGGAGAAGACTTTGGATGTTCCCCCCCCACACAGGCTCTAATTGACCTGGGGGCAGGGGAGCATGCGAAGCCTCCTCCCGCCCTGCAAGCAGCACATGGCCCTTGGAAGTGCTGCGTGCTGCTCTCAAGGTGGGGGGAGAGCGGAGGAGGCTTTGTATGCTCCCCCACCCCGAAGTCAATCAGGGCCTGGGGACAGGGGAGCTGTGTGAAGCTTCCTTCACCCTGCCCCTGTCCTGTGAGGAGCACGCACTCCCCTGCCCACAGGCCTGATTGACCTGGGGAGGGGGGGATATAGACTGCAGTCTACCTGCAAAGTAATAGTAGCTCCTGAGGTTTTTCTTAGGCCCTAATATGGGCTAGTTAGCCTGGGGTAAAAGCATCAAATCCAGGTCCAAGATTTGTGTGCACACATGGTAGGTAACAGGTTAGGGGTAAGAGCCTAAATTAATCTGTATTGACGACATACTCCCAGAGTAGGAAGTTAGAAGCTTTTACTTTCTTACCCTGTAATTATCCATAATTACTGCCAACCATGGCTTTATTGTCTTCATTACATCTTCAAGCAAATGCTTCTCAACTGTAGACCCATCATGAAAGGTTAGGTTTCCCACATGGATAGCTTTCCTCACTTCTGATCGTGACAAAAATACTCCAAAATATTCCTGGTCAGCAGGCTCCTGTTACAAGGAAAAATTTGGGTGGGAAAGCTGCATTAAACAAAACAAAATTGTATGCATGCATTTCTCAGTTTACACCTCAACAGCTCTGTATCCTAGCATGCAAAGTACCACATAAAGGAAGACTGTGTTTACTGCCTCTGCAATTTCAATTTTAACTTTGAAGCACTGAAGTTATTTGACCTGGTTGCTCATATTCGTTTCAGATGAGGAAACATCTACTTTCCCCCACCCCACCCACATATCCCTCTCCCAAGGCCTAAGAAAATTTCACTTTCTTCAAGAACACAAGAGAGAGGCAAGACATTTTTCAAGACTATGAAAGTGTTATGGCTGAAACAGCAGAGATGCACTGGTATTTCGCTGCTTTACTAAAGTAAGCTATATTAAATGTTCAGAGATTGCATGCCTTTAAAAAAATGTACACTAGGGCATTTGGGGGACTGTAATACGAATGTTAACTTTGGAACTCGGCATTTAGTTCTGTTCTATAACTAGGCTTGCCAGATGCTTTCACCAAAAATCCCAAACATTGTAGGAAAAAAACCTTGGTTGACCAAACAAACAAATGGGAGACCAAACTTGTTAAGCAAAAAAACTCCCCAAAAAACAAAAACAAAACACAACTACCACCAACCCAGGAAACAAAACTTGTTGCTTTCCTTGCTTCCCCCGGCCAGCCTTCCATCCAAGAAAAACAGAAAATACCAGACATTTTACACGTCTGATATTTTCTGGGGGTTTTTTTAAACACCGGACAGGGGCCAGAAAGAACGGACTGTCCGGGCGAAAACCGTACACCTAGCAACCCTATTAAGCTTGTACTAGTGTATACATCTTTTTATATAAAACATTTTCTTGTGTGCCACCCACAGTCCCTTCCCCCTGAAGCTGCCCTGCCTTCTCCTTTTCTCCCTCCTCCCTGCTGCTAACCCAGCAGGGATTAGCAACCTATGGCTCCAGACCAGCAGCAGCACTAAAGGTAAGCTGCTACTGCTGGTGGTGGGCTTGTGGGGTGGATAGCCAAAATTACAGTGCTCCAGCAGTAAGGGGGGCAGAGAGGCTGGCAGACAGGCCAGCTGCAGGGGGTGTCCGGATTGGGGGACACCCCGTCCCCTGAGCCGGTGCTGGCTGTACCTTTGGCAGCTGCCACATGGCAGGTGGCTGCTGAAGTTTTAAATTGCAGTCCTGTAGCCAGACAGAAACCCCCCCATCTCATCCATCTTATTTGCCTCTCTAAGGTTCCTGAAGCATACAGGGCAGAAAAGAAGCAATAAAATCAGCATAGTCTATGCTGGCTCATCTGATCCTGAGAAGCTGAAAACATAAATATGAGGAGAGAGCGATTAAGGCAATAAGCTGACCTCAAGGCTGCGAGAACTGCCTCAGCTGGCACCCATGTTGATACGATCACAGACAGCCAAGTCTTATGGGAGAGGAACCTCCCACTGAGAAAAGAATCTCCAGTACTTCCAATTTAGTCCTCTCTCTTACAAGTGTAAATTAAGTTCACAACTCCCTTGTAAGAACTGGTCTCACAAAAGACAGACCAGCACCATTTGGCATCACAGATAAGAAAAAGAAATACGTGACCCCATGGGTATAAAGATGGGTCCAGCAACACACTCACTTTGAGTGTCAATCTACCCTCTACCTGCTGGTCGGGTTAGGTGTTTCGACCTCCCGAGTTTCCATGGGGATGCCCACCTCGTATTTTCGTCTTTCCTAGGAATTGAGGGACCGGCCCTGGCCTGACACGCTCGAGTCGAGAGGCACAGAAAGGGGTAAAAATTGTACCTGGATGTGGTCCTCTGTCTTAAGTGTACACATAGACTTAGAGCTCTTTAAAGATTAAGCTGTTACTTGGTACTATTATTTCTATTTTTCTATCTTTATCTTCTTTGTAACCATTTTTAAGATCTATATTTGCTAGCAGTTAAGAAATAGAGCAATAGCCATTGCAACCATATGATTTATAAGCTTCTATAATAAACCTGTAACTGTTTAAGTTTTAACCTGACTCCTTCGGTTGCTGTAACAGAACCAAGCACAATTTAAAAGAACTTCAGCCGGTCATAATGGACAGGTATAGGAACACACCCTGCCCTGACCGTCAGCTGACAGGTCCTCCAGCCTGGGCCTTGCCCTCCTACCTCCTGGCAGCCAGGGAGAGTGTAGGGCCTGGCAAAGGGCATGGGCCCCCTACCTGTTCCTCCCTGTGGCAGAGATAAGAAGGTGAGGGGCCTGGGCCTTGACCCCCTTCCTCCCAGCAGCCAGAGGGGGAGACAATGTGGGGCCTGGGCCCGGTCTCCCCTCCCTACAGGTGGCTAGGAGGGAGAGCACAGGGCTTGACATGGCTGGGAAGGGGCGAAGCCAGGGCTTGAACAGTGTCTGTGTGTAGGGGGAGAGGGGTGAGCTGCAAGCGGCACGAGCCCTTCCCCCTCACAGCGGAGGGAGAGACCCAGGCCAACCATGACCTCTGCCTGGACCAACTTCCTGGCAGTCAGGAGTGGGGGAAGAGTCAGGGGTTGGCCTGGCTTCAGGAGGGCTCAGCAGCTGGGCGGGGAGAGAGCCCGGGCAGGCCAGGGCTGCCATGCCTCGGCCTGGCCCTCCCCAGTGGCCAGGGGGCAAAGGACTTGTGGTTACCTAACCCCAGAGACAGGGGTTGGAGAACACAGTGAGCAGGAGGCATCACCCCCTAGTTGCCTTTAAAATGTAAGGTGCTAGAATGCTTAAACTCTGTTATAGGAAATAGAGGCTATTTGCTTGAATTGAATTTAGTGTGCAGATTTAAATTCTCCCCTCCCAAGGGCTTTTATCTAAATAACTAAATCCAATACCAGTATGTAATAAAAATTCAAAGTCCAAGATGCACTGTGCTCTGAATTGGCCATTTCCATAAAGTATTTTTACATGCAAACATCTCACATTGTACCGTAAATATCATGCACAAGAGAGAATAATGGTTTTCTCAGATAGTTCCATTCAGAGCACAATTTCTTCCCACAGTCTTAAACTAATCTTCACAATTTTAGTAAGATTCCTAAGTGAGATTTCACATGTAGGTAAAGTATTTAAGTGTAAGTATGTCTCCTGTTTACCAAAGACTTGGATTATAAACCGGTAATACAAAGAATTCAGAAAGATTTTGACTTCAGGAGTAATTTCCTACTTGCTGTACTCGAACTAATATACCTGATGCATCAAGTCTGAATATCTGAAATGCCGAAACAAGCAATATTCAGCAGTGTGACCTCAAACATCAAGATGAAAACCCCTGAATTCTGCCAACTCTTGTTTATTCAAGACAGGAGCCAATGAGTCTATGACTGGAAGGTAGCCAACGTGACACCAATATTTAAAAAGGGCTCTAGAGGCGATCCTGGCAATTACAGACCGGTAAGTCTAACTTCAGTACCGGGCAAATTAGTCAAAACAATAGTAAAGAATAAAATTGTGAAGCATGTAGAAGAACATAATTTGTTGGACAAAAGTCAACATGGTTTCTGTAAAGGGATATCCTGTCTTACTAATCTATTAGAGTTCTTTGAAGGGGTTAACAAACATGCGGACAAGGGGGATCCAGTAGATATAGTATACTTGGATTTTCAGAAAGCCTTTGACAAGGTCCCTCACCAAAGGCTCTTGTGTAAATTACATGGCCATGGGATAAGAGGGAAGGTCCTTTCTTGGATTGAGAACTGGCTAAAAGACAGGAAACAAAGGGTAGGAATAAATGGTAAATTTTCAGATTGGAGAGGGGTAACTAGTGGTGTACCCCAAGGGTCAGTCCTGGGACCAATCCTTTTCAACTTATTCATAAATGATCTGGAGAAAGGGGTAAGCAGTGAGGTAGTAAAGTTTGCAGATGATACCAAACTTTTTAGGATAGTCAAGACAGAAGCAGACTGTGAGGGACTCCAAGAAGATCTCACCAAACTGAGTGATTGGGCAACAAAATGGCAAATGAAATTTAATGTGGATAAGTGTAAAGTAATGCACATCAGGAAAAATAACCCCAACTATACGTACAGTATGATGGGGGCTAATTTGGCTACGACAAATCAGGAAAGAGATCTTGGAGTTATCGTGGACAGTTCTCTGAAAACTTCCACACAGTGTGCAGCAGCGGTCAAAAAAGCAAATAGGATGCTAGGAATTATTAGGAAAGGGATAGAAAATAAGACCCAGAACATCTTACTGCCCCTGTATAAAACTATGGTACGCCCACATCTTGAATACTGTGTATAGATGTGGTCTCCTCACCTCAAAAAAGATATTTTGGCCTTGGAAAGGGTTCAGAAAAGGGCAACTAAAATGATTAGGGGTTTGGAACGGGTCTCATATGAGGAGAGGCTAAAGAGACTGGGACTTTTCAGTTTAGAAAAGAGGAGACTGAGGAGGGATATGATAGAGGTCTATAAAATCATGAGTGGTGTGGAGAGGGCTGATAAAGAAAAGTTATTTATTAGTTCCCATAATAGAAGAACTAGAGGACACCAAATGAAATTAATGGGTAGCAGGTTTAAAACTAATAAAAGGAAGTTCTTCTTCACACAGCGTGTTGTCAACCTGTGGAACTCCTTGCCAGAGGAGGCGGTGAAGGCTAGGACTATAATAGAGTTTAAAGAGAAGCTGGATAAATTCATGGAGGTTAGGTCCATAAAAGGCTATTAGCCAGGGGATAAAATGGTGTCCTTGGCCTCTGTTTGTCAGAGGCTGGAGAGGGATGGCAGGAGACAAATCGCTTGATCATTGTCTTTGGTCAACCCTCTCTGGGGTACCTGGTGCTGGCCACTGTCGGTAGACAGGATACTGGGCTAGATGGACCTTTGGTCTGACCCAGTACGGCCGTTCTTATGTTCTTATGAAACTCTACAGTAAGGGGGAAAAGTCCCCCTGTATTCCCACCCTGACTCTTGAGCCTAAAAACAGAACGAGGAGGGCAGAGGTCTCAACTGATTTATTACTAGATGTTAGATGCCATACCATTCTACTTCCATTTTATATGAAAAGGAATTCAACTACCACCAGAGATCACATTTGATTACCAAACATGATCAGGACTGAATTGGTGAAATACACAGAAGCTACCTAACACTGCAAACCACATTCTACAAAAGATGGCTTACAGATGAAGTGTTTAACTTGAGTAAGGCTTTGATCAGCAAAAGTATTTAAATGCTTAATTTTCAGCATGTGAGTATTTCTTTTAAGTCATTAGAACAACTCATACTTAAGAGCTAAACATGTGAAAAGTGTAGGAGTAGACTGGTACTAGTTTACCTTTAAAACACACCATTACTACATTCAGGCAATTTCCTAACCTTGACATGCAGAATAAGAAATTTGCTTATGTTAGACAGTACATTTGTTTGGTTTTGGGGCTTTTTATTATTGCAATAGTAAGTTTACCTGGCATTGCAAAAAGTTAAAGTAGTTGCTACATCCTGTAACATTCTGAATGAAGGAAGGACCTGTTTCATCACCGTTCAATAGAGTATCAAAAACCTGGAAGGAGACACCAAGATAAGTATATGTATTTAAAGTTCAAAACATAAAATCATTGCTACTTCTCAATTAAATTTGTTCTTTATTAAGTTTAAATATGAATTCTTAATTAAGTTTAAACATGAATTCCATTCCATGTTTTATTAGAAATCTATTCAAGTTTCCGATGCCAAAGCCAAAATTATAAGAGAAAAGAATCTTTTTCAGTATATTTTAGAAATATACTTTCATGGTTCATGTTTAATCTAAATATCTTTACAGTCTACACTTGTGTCTAGGTATATTGCAAAGGGAAATCAAAGGTTATTCATTTGACAATGAAGAAAACCCATTGTTATTTATATGGGTGACATCTGAAGACCACTCAGAAATCTCTATCTGGAACAGTTGCACTCTGCCTGCTCATTTAGCATGTCAGACACTTTCCTCCACAGACTGCACTGGCTTCTAGCTTGTTTCTGGGCACAAGTCAAGGTGTTTCTTTGAAATATTAAGGTCTTTATGGCTTTACCACTTTTAACAGCTGGAATCTTCGCACCGTGTTTGATTTATGCGCCCAGGGCCAGAGTGTTCCAGAAAGACCATCTGATTTAGAATTTGCCTTCTATGTTGGCCCAGCAAGTTGAGCCCCTCTACTCACTCAAGCTTGTCCTTGAATGGTAGATTGAGTAGAAAGAGTCTTTAGGTTTGAAGCTTGATAGGCTTTATTATTAATTCTGTGACATTACCACCAATTGAAAAGGCATGTCTAGAGATTGACTAGAACTTTAAATAAACTAAGATATTTTGTCTAGAAACCAGTTTAATTCCATTAGGCAGTAAAAGGAGCTTAGAAGCCTGGGAATTTTGCAATCCAGATCCTTACCAGATTATTCTTAGGCCTTGTTCTAACTCCCATTAACAGTTAATTAAAATCGCTTTAAATATTTAGCTTGAAAAAATCCTCATGGCCTTACACAAAGCTCTGTCTTAGAAGCAAATAATAAAGAGTTAAATATTTCAACATATAATAAAGACATGCTACACATGCTTCTAAAAAAAGAGAATTTATTGAACTCTCATCGATTTAGCTTCAGAGATCACTTTGCCCAGCCCTCAGCCACTTCCATTGACCCCCTGAAGTGGAAACAGTAATGTACACAAATGTAAGGCAACATTAATATATATAGAGCAAGAACTCCAGCTTCACTCCAACAGAAAGGAATTTGAACTATTATTTGTGTAAGTCATGTTGGCATCCTTCCACTGTTTTTTAAAAATAACTGTTATGTCGTATTGACCAACTGTCATAAGCTTTGAATTCAAAATAATTTTAATATCATATTAAACAGAGGTCAACCATATCAGCTGAATTACTGTTTGCATGAAGGATACAGGATACAAGAAAAATGATTTTGACTCTGAATTTAAAATTAAAATCACTTTTGAAATCTGTGCCACTTTGTCATTTAACTTTTGTCTTTTTCCTTCTCAGAAATGTAAGTTGGAAGGAAATGTAATTTATTCTCCTAATATATTGAAAACACATTTATTATTACATCTAATATGAAACTGTCCAGTCCTTCACTTTTTCTCCCACAGTCAGTCCTTCATGCTAACTCATTTTAAAGTTCATAGTTAAAACTTTTTTCAATAATCAAAGACAGCCTCAAAGCTAAACAACATCATCTTACGTTTCTCCCAAATTACTACAATCATAATTAATGTCACTTCAGATGACAGCCAGCTGCAACAGGTTCAAATATATATGGATGAGATGTGTTTAGAAAAATCAAACATCTAAACTGAAGACACAAATACTTTTAAAGCAACTGTAGTAGCTTGTATTCCTTATATAGGCACAATATGGAATATGCAGAAATGTTTCAAACATACTAAGGCATTTTAGGAACTGACCCATTTCTTCATTTTCGCTGAGGCTAAAAGTAATGGGCCAGATACTCAGATAAACTTCATGGCCTAATAATTTTTTACTGCAAGGTTACAACAGATATCTTTAAACTGCATTTCCCTATGACAAATACATACACTGAGGTTTTGAAGAAACCTAATCCATATAAATATTTTGATTCAAGAATTTTATTTTTGTGGGGTTAAGAAACAGGTTCCAATTTTTATATTTGATATATTTTCTGGCATGAGAGGCAGTTAGTGGACATTATGCCAGTTTCCCCACACTGTTCTTCATTCATGAGATGGACATATTAAGCAAAGCTAGCAGATTCTGAATGCTGATACAGCAAATTTCCATTAGTCACAAGTTTGAAATTGGCACCTTGTTTCCAAAGATTATTCAAAATTTGAACCTCCAGTAACTAAATAATAAAATATTTCTCAGTTGAGTACCTAATCTAGGATCCTAAATTCACATTTATTCACCAAAACAGAAAAGTATTTTGCTATTTTCAGATGTGTTTAGCAATCCTTCTCACTGAAATCAAGGAAGCTGCAGGTTTTCATCTTTGATTGTCAAACCACTTCTATTTACATGCCCAAATACTGATTACAGTTCATACCTATCTTAGGTACTCATATGACCCTCAGTTTTATAGTGTCTGAGAATCCTATAAGTAATCCACTGCCAACCTACTTATCCAATCTCTGGAGAGATGTCAGATAAAGTATATGTTTTCCCTAAAAATTTAACAATTTTCTTATTTTAATTCTATTTTGCAAACATTGTGAGAAATATTATCTGTATATTGAAAGTGTCTAAAGGGACTGTGTTCACACATCATAAATATGATGCATATTCTCCCATTATAATGCTTAAACTATATAAAAGTTACCTATTTAAAAACACAGAGATTATAAAACACAGAGCAGTTACTATAATTCACTTGAACCGAGTTACTTCGCGTAGAGAAAATTTCTGTGTGCAGTAATCATCTTGGATGCCACCACATCTTGCAACCTGGGCAGCTATGAGCCACAAAGCAATATTCTTTGCAGACATGGATTAACTGCTATGAAATGCAGCCCTTATTTTTTAATATAAAGTTTACTAGCATGTTCAAGTATATGTAGCAACTCTCTACACAGCATTTTCTCTAAGTTCCATGGGGAAGTTAAACCTTCAGGCATACAAGCATTTAGTTAAAGAAACAAAACAGTTAATGAAAGACAGGACTGTATAAATATATTCTAAAGCCTCTCTGTTTTAAATGAGGCCAAAACAAATTCTACGGATATTTTTACTTCCTTTCGTTCCCTCACCCCGACCTCTACCACATTACAATGGGCACCTTCTCCAGCATCAAACTTCTGAACTTCATTATGCTTCTTTGTGACCCCTTACTTAGTTCAGATGGTTTTAATTGCTAAAGTCCAATGTGCGGGCCTCTCATACGTACTTCAAAGGCTTTTATCCACTTCTTCTGCTGGATGTAAATTACTCCCAGGTCGGTCTGCTGCTGGACATACTCCCTCTGCTTCTCATCCACCAAGCCAATTTGGTACATGAACTCTGCATAGCCACCCAGCATCTACCAGACAGGCACACAAGAATGGAAGCTGACAAGTTAGGAAGGCATATTTTACTTTTCCAATATTGCCTTTAAAAAATTCTAAATCAGTCACTGACCTCAACTGAGTAAAATTTTAATTAAAAAAAAAAAAAACAATCTAGTAACTTGACATTCTGAAACATTTGGCAAATATTAAAGGTTTAAAACCATTAGGAAGTCATTTAGGAAACTAATACCGTTTATCTAGATAGAACTGTAATAGGAGAAAAGCACTCCATTTAATTATATACAAAAAAAATAGAAAAAATATGTAAAGCCTACCATTTCAGGGTCACAGAGACCATCACCAATTGCAACTCCTTTGAAGTTGATCTTAACCTTAGCTTTAGGACTATGGGTATGGATGTAGTATCCAATAGCAGGCACATACTTCCCTGCATAAGACTGGAAAGAATGGAATGGTAAGTGATTAAATTTGAAAGACTATTGCTTTATTATATATTACAACTTGAGTATTTCTACATTGGGTAGACTGGCAATATATTATTTTGTTTTCATGTAGTTATTGAAAGGATCAATTTTTTATTCTCTAACCCACACTGATATGCAGTTATTTTTTTCTTGATGAACATACTGTTTAAATATATTCATTATCAAGAGTGATTTAAGACATCAGTGTTGGAAAGGTCACCTGAGGAGTGGGAATATTTATAATGGACAATGTACATTCAAATCCCACAGAAATCCCATCCTAAAATAGTTTGGCTAATGATTTCCTGCCTGCCACCAGTCAGGTTTAGTCTCGCATTGGACTGGGCTGGTACAGTGTGTTAGGTAACATGCTAGCACACATGTTAACGCAGAAGACCGTTTAAGATAACTTAGACATCAGTATAAATTATTTCATTTTTCACATAAAGCTTGATATACAGGCACAGATGTGTCAGTCAGGAGTACATTTTTTTTAATTAACCAAGATAATTATGCCAATAAAAAGCTTTAAGGTAGAGGTAATTATACTGGTTTAACACAATACATATGCGAGTTCATTGAAGTGGCATAAGCTACACTGGTGTAAGCATTTTCGTACAGACATAATTACAACCACACCACAAGATTTTCCTGGTCTGACTTTAAGAACAAGCTTAACTACAATTATTATATTTAAGCCAATTTGGTCAATTAGGTATAGGCCAAGTCCAGGGGTGAACTCTTGGCTCTATTCAACTAAATGGGAGTTTTGCCACCTATTTCAGAAAAGCCAGGATTTCACCTCAGACTTTTAAGACCAAACAGACAGTGAAGAAAAAGGGTGTGGGGGGAGAGAGATGAAATAAAAAAAAATACGAGAAACTCTAGACAGAGAAATTTATAACTTTATAGCTTTATAATCTGAAAAGCCACACTGTCAAAGTTTGCGCCCAAACTATTTGGCATGAAACGTCACTCATATTCTTCAAGGAAAAGTTAAATGGAGCAGACATAATAGCTAGCATATTGCTTCTTCTAATCCAGAAGACCCCTAAAATACATTGTGTTTGTTTATTGAAAAGCCAGATGGATTGGTTACTGACAGATTCCTATAATCTATATACCATAGAGTTTGTCAACATACTTGTGTGTGCAAACAGATTTGTGCCGCCAAAAGAAAAATAACACAGTTCCGAGAAGAGTAAAAAACAAACAAACAAGCAAGCCAATCTCTGGTTTAAGTCCCCACATATTATTTACTACTGTATTATGGCAGTATTTATAGGGAATCGCAATAGAATCTCTCTAAAATTTTGTTAACGGATTTGTTTTAAATATCCCCTTTTCAATGAGATGTATGTGTGAATGACTGTATATTCACAAGCACATAGCTTGCAAGAGCCCTAAAAGCACTCTCTGACAAGACAAGGAACAGGCAGAAAGCTCCCCACCCATCTGACTGTAGTTCATTTGAAGGTTGACTTGTTATAGTGTAACATTAACAGGCGAAACCAGGGGTGGTTCAGGGAGGGGAGGAGGTGGGGCAGCGTACCGAGCATGCCCCAGCCTCCCTAGAGAACTGGAGAGGGAAGGAGGCAGGGCAGTGCATCAAGTGTGCCCCTGGCCCCCAGGAGGAGATGGGGCAGCTTCCCTGGAGCACTGGGGAGGGCAAGAGAGGCGGGGCAGTGTGCCAGGCATGCCCCAGCCTCCCCAGAGCATTGGGTAGGGGAAGAGAGGTGAGGTAGCACGCCGAGCATGCCCCAGCCTCCATGGACCATCAGGGAGGGGAAGAAAGGCGGGGCAGTGAGCCAAGTATGCCTCAGCCTCTGCGGAGCATCGAGGGGAGGAAGAGAGGTGAGGGGGCATGTGAACCCAACTTGGATCCCCCGCCTCACCGGAGCACTGGAAAAAGAGAGGAGGCTGCACAGCACAGTACCCGGGGGAAGGAGGCCTCTACAAAGTTCCAGCTCCTCCCTCCCCCCAGCCAGGAGCATGGGGAGGGCAGGTGCTGGGGTCAGCAAAACTCTGCCTCCAAAACGCTTACAGCAGGCATTCTGGGGGCGAAGTGAGGGTCTGGCTATGTCTGGCAGTTTGGGAAGGCTTTGCCTTCCTCCACCTAGGCTATCTATGGGTGGAACCAAACCTGGGACCTCTGGAGCTTAGGGCATGAGCCTCTACTGCTTGAACTAAAAGCCCACTGGTTTTTAGCCAAGGCAGAGGAAACTCATTCTCTCTCTCTCTAAGTGGTCTAAGCACCACTACATGGGACAGTAGGTGTGTGGGTTACAGTAACACAAGTTTGATTTTCTGCATCCGTTTTTCTCCCCAATGAAAATTGCTTTTCAACTTTTATCCCATTATTTCCTATACCTCTTAAGCCCACTGCTTTTTGAACTTTTTTCAAGCAAGACTAATTGAAAGATGATATATTTATTTTCTATTATGACATTATTGTGAAAAGGGCAACACAGCACTTTTGGTGAAAATAAACTGCAAAGATGTTGCGACCTGCAAACACATAGGAGGTCAGACTAGATGATCATGACAGTCCCTTCTGATCTTAAAGTCTATGAGTCTATGAGAATATGAGATTTTTAGATGTTTTTGGCAATTTTTATAAGTAGTTAAAATTATATTTTTAAAATAAAATGGCAAGTTTCCCTTAAATATCAAAAAGAATTATAGCAACCAGCAACTAACATCCTAAGGCAAGACATGACTGTTCAAAGCCACACTGGTGTCTCCAGAAATCAGCACTTAGCTTTTTTTTTTTATAATGCCAGTGACTAGAACAGGCTTGGGCAAAATACGGCCCGCAAGCTGCATCCGGCCTGCCAAGCCACCAGATCCAGTCCATGGAGGCAGTGGAAAGCCCCAGGCAGGCTCTTCTGCTTGCCCCGCAGCCCAGTGCGCTGGGCAGAAATGCAGCTGCAGGACTCCATTTCTGTTTTAAAACTGGAGGGGAAAGGGAAAGTTTCAGGAGCCACCCCGCCCCCAGCACAACCCCCTTGGCTGGTTTCTGACCAGAAACTGGCCAATGGAAGCTGCTTGTTGGAAAAACAGGCAGCCAAGAAGCACCACGCCCCCCTCTCCTTGGCTCAGTTATTCAGCACATGGCCAGGCAAGAAGGCAGTTCTGGCTGGCTGAGAAATGTTTTAAGCTCTGCAGGCAGGCAGGCTAGTTTTCCAGCTAATTTTCCAGACTTTCCAGGGTAAGTCTCTTGGACACACCCTGTTTCTGGCACCCCAGCCCTTTCCTGCCCCAACCCTCTGTTCACCTCCACTCAACATGCCAAAACCCTCTGTCCCCCTCTTACACCCATACACCCTCCCAGATCTGGCACCCCAATCTCCTGCCCCAGATCACAATACTCTCCTACCATAGGTCACATCCCAAACCCCTGCACTCCAGTCCCCTGCCCTAGGTCACAACCACCTGCTTCATCCCAACTCCCTCCCAGGCTCCAGGCTCCCTTCTGCACCCCACTCCCTTACCCCAAGCTCCCTTCTGCACCCAACCTCCATCCCAGACCCCGCATCTCCTCCATTAATATCATGGAAGAGTGCGGCCCTCAATCACTTTCTAAAATCTTGGAGTGGCCCCGTCAAAAATTATTGCCTACTCCTAGACTAGAATGTAGTCCAGTAACTCATCCCATAAGTACTTGTCACCAATTCATTTGGCCCCATTTTCAAAAGGTCTTCAACTTCAAAATTATATGAGGAAAAACCGAAGTACAGGTTGAACCTCTCTAGTACAACACCCTGAGGACCTCACCAATGCCAAACTACAGAAGGTCAATAGTGTCTAGCTGC